TGCGACCCTAGGTGGAAGAAAGAAGTCTAGAAGTGTCCTAAGGCTAATTAGTCTGCTAATAAAAGGATACACTCCTAAACATACTTACTAGGGATTAAGTGGCATTAGAAACAGCTGCTACGTCTGAGTAAACACGTATAGGATTGCACCGGAAGGAAGGAACAACATGAGTAATAGAATATTAAGCAATGCCTGCTTGCCCTCTCACCTCTCAACTTCTGAGGATGCCTGCCATAGATGTGGGTGAAACATCAGGAACATGGCCATCTAGCCCAGAAAACCCACAGCAATCCAGTAATAGAACGTTGAAGAAAGTTGCCAGGTGCAGAATTTGGTCTCTAGAGTCTCCAGCAGAGAACTTCGTTCTTTGTCCTCAAAGCAAGCAGCACTGCTTTTCTCTTCCCTCGCCTTATGCTGACTTCTATAGACTTGTTTCTAAGCAGAAAGTGCCCTGTGTATGTTTATGTATTGCCCAGAAAAATAATTAATTGGGTGCTAGGAAATAATCTTGGCAAATTGAGGAGTTATCAAGATTCTGGATGGCATTTCTGTTTCATTAAAGGCCCTTTCACACAGCCCTATACCCCAGAATATCAAGGCAGAAAATCCCACATTATTGGAGTGTGGACTCAGGGTCCTTCCACACAGCCCTATATCCCAGAATATCAAGGCAGAAAATCCCACAACATCTGCTTTAAACTGATTGATCTGAGTCCACACTTAAATAATGTGGGATTTCTTCCTTGATATTTCTGGGATATAGGGCTGAGTGGAAGGGCCCAGAGAAAAGCTTCTCCCTAAGTCTGCTGGAAGAATGGGATGTCCTGGGCAGATGGAGATGCTTGCACTAAACTGCCAGACTAGGAAGGATGAGGAATATGTAACCCTCTACACAGATGTTAGATTGAAAGTCTCAGCAGACCTAGCCAACATAGCAAATTAAAGACTCTTGAGAGGTGCAATTCAGCAAAATCTGATTTCCCGTTCCCCGTTTACTGGAAATAAAAGGAAGAAGAAATAACAGATAACACTACTTGAATGTCACAGTGACTCAGGCTTTCTGTGAAAATTGAAGCACTATAAATGAAAAACCACTACTTTTTAACTTGAGAGAACAATTTTCTGGGAATCAGAGTCCTCCAGTGTGACACTGTGATGAATTCCGGCTAGAAATTTCCTAAAGAGAACATACCAATCATGCAAAAGTTCAGTCCACAAATTTGGTGGCCAACTGTATTTCCAATTTCTCTGTATTGTTGTTAAAACTGGAGAGTAATGAAAGCTTATAGAAGAAAATCGGTTCATTAAAAACATACTGATGCAGAGTTCTACAGATATCATGGATTGCTAAAAAAAACAAAAACAAATGACTAAATCTGTCTTAGAGCAAATCAAGCCACAACTCAGATTAGAAGCCACCTAGATAATTAGAGTGAACTTGTCCTTTGACTATATCATGAGACAACATGACTCATTGGAAAAGATTATAGTGCCAGGCAAGTGGAAGATAGTAGGTGAGACCACATGTCAGGTGAATTGATCTCAACAAAGAAGCCATGACCCTGAGTAGGGCCACTGACAACTAGAGATCATGGAAATGTCTCATCCTTGGGGTCAGCATAAATTAAATACTAACAACTTCTTGAATTAGGGAATATTTTCTTCCGTCAAATGGATCAGAAACATTTTAGCTACATGCTAATAATGGATGATGCCAAAGTGCATTCTAATATGAAGAACACATATTTTCATACATATCCACACATTTTTCACATAGATGCATTTAAAACAAATCAATTCTCTCACATAACAAATGCATGTAGAGATTATCTGAAAGTGCCCCTATACCGCTTAGTGTCTGAGGAGTTGGAACAGATTTCATTTCCACCACATTTTATATCCTTGCATGTAAATGGTGGTCCTGCAGTATCTCTTTTCAATTATTTATAGTCCCTTTAAGGTACCAGATCCTGTCTGATATTGGAAGCTAAGTAGGATCAGCCCTGGTTAGTATTTGGATGATAGACAGCAATGAATACCAGATGCTGTAAGCTGTATTTCAGAGGATGGAAAATCACCTCTTGAGTGATTTTGTTGAGTGATTCCTTGTTTTTCAAAACCCTATGTAGTTCATGGGATCACCATGAGTCAACAGGTAACTTGAATACACAAACACAACACACACATACAATGTCTTGTGGAATTTTCAACATATAATGTTGACTTTCCATCTTAGGACAGAAAGGTAACAATTTACTTATATGAAAGAAAGAAGGATGCTCAAAGATGCCACTGATCTGGAGGCTGATTCATCTTCTCACCTTCTCTGAACAGTTCTGTGTGCTCATCTATAGAACACTTTTCTGGATTAAATAAAAGTCATTTGTTTTGGTTTTTTAAAAATAATTTGTTAATGTGTCGTGATTAAATAAGGAATTAGAAGTCTGACTTCATACCTGGAGAGTCATCTGTCATAGCAAATATGAGATACCATGTCAGATGAAACATTCCTTCCTTTCTCCCTTGGAAACTGTTTTCCTGTTGAAGCGCTTTGGATCTTCCAGTGCTTGAGATGTGCATAACTTGGGGTGAGCTTCATGTGAAAGTACATTGACCATGTTTTTGGTCCAAAAATTATCTTTTTCTCTAGATTTATTCTTGCTTTGAGTTGAAATGTAAATCAGAAATCCTTCAAGCAACTTTTCTCTTTTCTGGGAAAGCACAGCATTCAGTCGGCCCTCATAAGCTCTAGAGCACTTTTTAAGCAGTAAGAGTAAAATAGAGTCACAGCTACAGCACTTTCCTCCTTTTCTGCCCTTGGATGGCGGAAAGACCTCAAGTGCTGGAAGGAAGGGTTTACATGCACAGCAAAGCAATTGATTGTTCGGTAGTCAGCAGTTTGGAGAGTTAGATAGACTGAAAGGCAGTACAAACACGAGGCATGATTTGCTGTGTGTTTGGGGCAGGGGAGAAGAGGAGACTGATACATAGCATTGCTTTGGAGCAGTGTCAGGAAACAGGCAAAAGCAACCCTTATGTAATTATATTTTTTATTATGTAAGCTGCCTTAAGAATCCCTCGGGATAAAAAAGGGAGGCTGAGCATTAAATGAAATAAGTAAAATACCAAGCTGATATTGGAACAGATGAGATGCAGATGCAAAGTGAAAACTGAACCCAGAGTCTGTCCTGTTTGGAGTATGTGAGAGAAGGGTTGCCAATAGATATATGTATGGAGTAGAACTGTAGTCCAAAATATGAGTGGATCAAAGATTGGGTATAATATAGTTATCAATATTTGAATGTTTCCTGCACTTGTCGTATGATACATTGTAGATTGAAGTGTATCATGTTGCTTTGGATGGCTGAATGGGCTCTTCTGCTTATTAGGGGCATGACACCTTTGATTAAAACAGCAAAATATAGTAGTTGGAGGGAATGTAACCTCAGAGAATAAAGTACTGTCATTAGGTGCTATGCAAATATATTGGTTCAATGTTGGTTTCTGTTGTTGATTAGCTAAAAAAGTGCTATCATAGGCTGAATGTAGACAATAGTAGAGCATCATCTGCAGTTGCTCCTGGTTGTGTTCCTATATGATCTGTCCATCACTGTTGTTTAATAGACTACTGTAAAGTTGAAACATTTCTAAAAGTTTGCTGCCATTTTTGAGATCATGTAATAAGCTTGTAAAGAACAAAAGAAAGAATTAGAGCCATTGAGCAGAAAAGATATCCTCCTACACTGCAAGTAATCTTAATGTAAGAGTAGAAAGTCTTCTCCTCAACAGGCAAAGGCATTTTTAGGTCACTGACAAAGCTAGACATGACCTGATGCAGCTTTTCAGTCCTTACTTGACCTTTTAACCCAGGGGCTTAGAGGTTCTTTAAATGGTTTCAAAATAATAGAACTAGAACTTGAAAACTTTATTCTGGGCCCATAGGTTACTATTAGCCTTTCTCAGGAAGAGTGACAAGGCATATTTAAGATTGCTTAAGAATGATAAATTACCTTTTAAAATTACTTAATATACCTTTTAATACTTGCAGTGTCAAAAATTATTCTACCTATTTTTCCAAGTTGTGCTCAATTTGGTATTCTGTACTATATTTAAAACAACACTGGAAGGTATCATTTGTGAAATCTTGTTGGGTGGTGTTTGTGACTATATTTTAATTGCAAAGACTCCTTCCCAATTTTCTTGAGCCTTGGGGTTGTTAGGGCATTCAAAGCACTTGGAAGTATGTTATCATTCTTTAAACAAACTTTTAAAAGAATGTGCTGTGGACAGCTTTTTTCTGTTGCTTTACAAATATGCTGGTATTAGGCAAGGAAAGTCTTGGAAACAGTTCAACATAACATCAAGTCACAGATGAAAGGCCTTGTACATCTTTATATGCAAAGTTTGATGTCTATAATTTTAATCAGATGTTCAGATGTATTAAAACTGAGTTCGGTTAAATTTATTTATACCTAAAGCAGGTTAGTTTATGCACAGGGCTGTATGTGGCACTCCAGCAACTAAAAGAAAGAATTATAATGATCATCATTATTATGTTTGTTTATGTCTTGCCTTTTTCCCAATTTGAAAAACATACAAGAACTGAACATTTTAATTGACAATATTAAAAATGACCTGAAACTACACTTTAAAGACAAAATACTATTAAAAGATTTAAAACAATTAAAACTGCTCAGCATCTTCAGCTCACTCCTTTAAAATGTTCTGTTTTAAAAGTCTGCTGGAATAAAAAAAATGGCAGTAGGACAGAATGGAGAGGCATGGAAAGAGCCATTTGCCCCCTGCCCCAGAAGGGGGTTTTGTAGTCTAGGGACAGTACTGAGAAGAAGACAACTGCAGCATGACACAAAGGGACTAGGGTATATATCTTGTATTAATGTGCTCAGTTGCAAGGAGGGAAATGTCAGGGTTACGTTTGTTTTCTCTACTTCTGACTCTTCCATTCTCACTTCATCCTCAAATCTTTTCTTGCTTTCCAGCTGGTCGGGCTGTTGCTGATTGGTGTAGCTGCCTGGGGTAAAGGCTTCGGCATTGTTTCCAGCCTCCACATCATCGGAGGGGTCATTGCTGTGGGTTTCTTCCTGCTTCTCATCGCCATCGTGGGGCTCATCGGTGCTATCAACCATCACCAAGTCATGCTCTTCTTTGTATCCTTCTGTGCTGTTGGAAAAACAGAGTTCATTGCACCTGATCATTCTCTGTAGCGACAAGCATAAAAATGAATGTGTGTGACAGAATTGTGATATGGCATCTATTTGTAGGTTTAAAGAAATTTACTACTCAAGAAATAATTGTGCTTTTATTTTGTCTGGCATTTATGGAGTCTTTAATGGGCGAGGAATGGAAATAGATGCACAAGACATTTATAACTTTGCTTCACTTTTCTTTTGGACATCAGAGACTGCTAAAATAGATAGTTTTTTCTCTCTCTTTTCTTGAGATGGATAGGTGACATTAACTTCAATCTGATGACTTGGTTTTAAGAATTTTGTTTTGTTTGTGGCACATTATGTGATAATCTATTGATTGTGAGGAATGGAAGTAAGTTAGTGGTTCTAGGCCCTACCTTCAAGCAAAAAATTGAAGATCTGTGAAATTATTCCAAAAAATATTTTCCCCAAATATTTTAAAGTTGTGGTTGGTAGGATCCATGGATACAGATAGTGGACAGAATAGTAGTTTATGGTATACAGAAACAAAATGTAACTATTTGTATTTGCAGAGACTAGTAATCAAACTTCATATAACTTTCTCCTGATATGCCAGATAAATGAACCAGTGTCTCCTGTCTTTAAAATGTATATAAAGCACATAAAAGAGAATTACATATGTCTCTGGATTTTCCTAAGCTCACTGAGATCCATAGGGATGTCTGAGAATATTATAGAAGGAAGAATACAGTTTTAGTGGCAAAATTCCCATACCCAAAACAACAGTGCCACATATTAAATTCTGGTGGCAATCTGCAAATAACAGTTCCTGATGCATGGTGGCTGTTTTTCAAAATTTTATCCCCCCCCCCCCCCCTAAATAGCAGAGAGAGATGTCTACAGGAAGTGGTGAGGAAGACAGAGACATTCTTACTGAAAGATGTTCAGTTTTGTTTCAGAAAAGGGACTTAATTCAAAAATCTAAGGAAGACTTACCGTATGAGCTGATCTTGGTTTTCTGGTTGATGCAATTGTGTTACTGAGAAATGGGTTTGGTTTTTTAAAAAGGGGGAAAGGGAAATGGCTTCAAAATGAAACCTCATAACCTCTTAGGTCTTGAATGGTGATTATGTCTGGAGGATGTTGGCAGATGTACTGAGACCACAAAATCTGAGATTGGCAATTTGAAAGGCTGTAGTGTATCTATGGTTAATCCAAGGTAATGTCCTGAGGAGCAGGGGCAGCCATTCTGTTTTATCATGATGCTATGGATAATTACTCCACCCACAAGTATTTCTATTTTAGAGGATTTCTGAGGGAATTACAGAATTCATGAATGACAGAATGTACTGGAGTAGTCAAGCCAAGAAAGGAGTAAAAAATGGAGGAAGTTGTTGTGATAATTACTGGAAAGAGCAGGAAATGCTGGAAACACTTCTGACTACAACCTTGTTTAGACTATTGCCTGAATACTTGGAAGATTATATGGGTATCACAGGCCCTGCCCCGAATATCCCTGTACACATGCCTTGGATACATCCTGTTTGGATTACTCTGTGTGAGGCTGGCTTTTAGAAACTGTTTATAAACTTCAGCTTGTTCAAAATGTTTTGTCCAGAATACAGACCAGAGTCAGTTATAGGGAGTATTCAACTCCCTTGTTAAAACAATTTTATTGGCTCCCAGTTTATGTTGGGCATGATTAAAAGTGCTGATCATGGCCTATAAAGCCCTATATGGCTTGGGTCCAAATTTTTTTAAAAGACCGTTTCTCCTGATACAAGTCTGCTAGGCTTTATTTTAGTCCTGCCACCATTGCAGGCTTGCTTTGTGAAGACATGGGAGAGAGCCTTCTCAGTGGCTGCTGCAATCCCCAGACCATTCTTTTATGGGAGGCAAGGCTGCCCTCCTCCCCGATTTCCTTTTGCCAATAGGCAAAGACATTTTTACTTAAGCCTTTGGGCATGCTTTACCCTTTTAACTCTATACGTTTGTTTTAAAATGTTTTAATGCATTATCATAGGAAGCTTCCTTGGTCCAGTTCTAGGAGAAAAGCACCATATAAATTAAACAAATTCATTCCTAGACTTTGAGGCCTGAATATCTTCTTTGGGCTCATACATTTGGGAGATTATTCCTGTGGCTCAATGAAACCTCCTTATATGAAGGGGGGAGTCATTGGAGGATGCGTCAGAGGGAGGCTGGTGTCAGATACAGATCCTTGCCGTTTCAGCAAATAAGCTCAGTTGGAAGTAGCTAAGCTTTATTTTAGAATAGCAGGAATAAACTACTATAGCCTAATTAATGTCAAAATAGGCAGGCACAATAATAATTATAATAACAACTTTATTTTTATACCCCACCACCATCTCCTGGAAGGAACTCAGGGCGGCTTACAAGCGGGACCAAGCCCAAAACATACAACAAAATTTGCCAACGAAAACACAGTTTAAAACATAACATATGGCAGTCAATTATAACACAATTAAAACAGCAAGGCATAAAAATAATGTTAAAACTATATCAAATCAACTCAGCATAAGCGTAATGTATTTATAGGTTGTACATTCAGATATTTTGCACACGATTTCTTCATTTGTCAAACCACCATAGATATTAAAACTTTTCTCAGTCCTTTCCTTCGTTGGCCAGGTAATCAGACCACTGCCCCATTCTCACTCTCTCAACTTTCACATGAGAAAAAACTCAAACATTGTCCTCTTCTCAAAACAAAAGCCATCACACAACCTAAACAAGATATCCCTGCATTCCTAGCTAATGAGATATTTGCTGTGCCATCCTACACCAAGCAATTATTTTTTAACAATTTCTCGTGTACTCTAATTTTCCTTTCTGTAGTAAGAAATCAGCAGCAGTTGAGTTTTCTTCTGTTTGCTGAGCACCTAAATAACTGAATATGTTTCATTTAATAACTGGAAGGGGTTTTCTTGCAACTAAGGTTTTGGGGTTTTTTGTTTTTTTTTTACTTTCCCTGAATTTTCCCATTCATTTCCTTAATGTAAACCTAATTCCAGTATATGATAATTCTAGGGCTAGTCTTTATTTTCCAGTTTGGGATTTCCTGTTCATGTCTGGCACTCAAGAGAAGTAAACAAGTAAGTATGTTTTGCTGCCTAATTTCTGTTGAGGTCTGGAAAGTGTTTAGCCTGAATATCAAGCCACAGCATGTTCACTTCAGACCCTCTTAGTTGGAAAAGGGCAGAGTGAACTGAGACATGGAATAAAGAACCATAGGCAAGGTTCTTGAGAGTTAAAATTGCACCTCCTGGGACAACAACTTGGCTTCGTTAGACCAGTGATACATATGTAAAGATCTGGAATCTGGTGTATTAACCAAGAATGATACTTATTAGAAGGAACTGTATGTTGTCATTAGCAGTGGATATTCTATTTGCCTTCTAAACTTGACAGTAAGGAGAGATTTTTTACTGTCCCAATCAAAAATGGGAAAATCTTTCATTTTGTACATATGATTTCAGTGTATCCATCAGCTTTGTGGAGCACATCTAATCTTTTGTTTAATCCACTGACATTTCTGCATTGACCGGGGTAAACATCATATCCTCAACAGCATCACTATAGCTATGAACCATGGATGGAAAAGTTATGTTTTTGAAGTGCACGCCCAGAATTTCCAGCTAAACATGCAAGGAATGGTCAAAAAAATAAGTTTTTCAAGTTCTGTTTCTGGGCCCTTCCACACAGCCTTATAACCCAGAAAATCAAGGCAGAAAATCCCTGAATATCTGCTTTGAACTGGGTTATCTGAGTCCACACTGCCATATGTTCAAAGCAGATAATGTGGGGTTTTATTCAGCTGTGTGGAAGGGGCCTCTGAGTGCACTTTAGTTAATTGCATGCATTTTTCTACATCCCTGCCTCTCCAATATCTCTATCCCACTGTATACCACCAATGATATATCACAATAAGATTTATTATTGTTGCATCTTGAACTCTCCTTCCCCTTGCCCACTAAACTACCAGTTTTTGTGAGCTAGATTAAGAACATTTCTGCTTCTCTACACCTGACCTAAGATGGTTGTACTTTTAACACCTCCTGTTTTGGGTACAAATATTTGTTTTATCTTCTTTTAGGAAAGTCTCTTGAGTGGTGCCTGGAAAATGATGAACGTTGACACCAAGAAATCATTGGAAAGTAATTTAAACTGCTGTGGATTATTCAACAACACCAAATCTGCTGACACATTCAAAGCTGATGTTGATTCTTGTACTGCAGTAAGTGCATATTCTTGGAATAGCTTTACCCTTTCAAGTACCAGAAAACAGAGCAATATTGCTGCATGGCTCTAACCTGCTGGTCATCCCAGACTGAGGTTTCTCCAGGACCCTTCCACACAGCCATATAACCCAGAATATCAAGGCAGATGATCCACAATGTCTGCTTCAGACTGAATTATCTGAGTCCACACTGCCATATATTCTAGTTCAAAGCAGAAAATGTGGGATTTTATTCAGCTGTGTGGAAGGGGGCTCCATTAATGCAATGCCTTCGCTCAGACACCTTTGACTTTCTTATATTTTGTTGTGTGAAAATGAAAATACTGTACATACTGTAGATGATATGTTATTGTACCACAAAATTAAATAAACAAAAGCAAACTGACCCTTTTTTGTTGCATAACTGTCCACCCTCATTTTTTGATACATCAGGTAAATCCCTTTGAATTCCAGTTTGAACAGTAGGAACATGAAGAGAAAGGGAGGATCTTCCAAAATATAAATCTTCATTAAGTTGCTACCTCCTTAATGAATGGAATGTCCATTAACATAGCCTTCAGGGCTGTATTTTTTGGCTCATATTAGGTCTCATGGTGCTGCTTTTTTAGAGGATAGCACTTTGTCAGTAGCTAATTCTTTCTATCTCTATATTGTCTTGGTTGTTAAAGACTTTTTTTGTGTGTGTCAGGAGCGACTTGAGAAACTGCAAGTCATTTCTGGTGTGAGAGAATTGGCCGTCTGCAAGGACGTTGCCCAGGGGATGCCCAGATGTTTAATATTTTGCTATCCTTGTGAGAGGCTTTTCTCATGTCCCGGCATGGGGAGCTGGAGCTGACATAGGGAGCTCAACCTGCTCTCCTTGGATTTGAACCTCAAACCTATCGGTCAGCAGTCCTGCCGGCACAAGGGTTTAACCCATTGCGTCACCAGGGGCTCCTGGTAAAGAAGTGATAGCCATGGCTTTCAGGTGTGTGTTTTGCCTCACCCTTAGCTTCGTTCTGCGCCTTTTCATGGCTTAACCACCTAAATGGCACTTTATCATGCTTTCTCTTGGAAGTCAAACTCAGCCTCCAGAGCAAGGCACAGGCATACACACACACTTAACACACGTTCCAAAATATAAATCTTCATTAAATTGCTTACTTCTTTATTGTGAGGAAGTGTCCTGATTGTGACTTTCATAGGTGTGTTTTTTTTTGCTCCATGTTAGGTCTCATTGTGTAGCTTTCTATATATACACTGCCCTCTGTGTGCTACATACATTTTTTTTTTTTAGTTTGTGGGCCTTTACCCAAAGTGGGATGGGCTTTTTTATAAATAGAAAACCCCACATTATTTTAAGTTGGATAATAAAGGGTATTTGTGCCAAGTTTGGTTGGGATATATTAAGCCATGTAGGAACTTTAGTTGAACAAACATACATACCTTGACTTTTATAGAGAGAGACAACTGGCCCTTTGTATGGCCATCTTCCAGAAGGATTCTCTCCTGATGTTTTGCCCACATCCTATCACATTTTCTGATGGACCTCATTGGAGAGACTTCCTTCCCAGAACTCAAGACAGTATACAGACTCCATATTTGGAAATCAACTTTCCTTATTTGATTTGATCAAGTAAGACA